AGGAGACTGGATAAGCACCTCATTGAGCTAGTTTGAGCTCATTAACCTCATGACTACAGCAGAGAACTGGACTTGATGATCTTCCAGGTCCCTTTCCGTCCACTGATTGTATCATTGTAAATGGGGGAGGAGGGGAGACAATCTAGGTTTTATTCAGCCAAGCATTGTTAAAGAACCTATCACTTCATGCAATTTATTTAAATACACAAATTAGGACTGAATTCCTCACTGCCATCTTGGTTCTTACTGTGACTGATGTGATCTATTTGCTGGTTGCCTTCAAAAGAGCCCATAGCCTAGCTAGCCACAATCCAATTCTATAAGAGAAAGTCTACACCAAGCAGAAGGAAAGCCTGTCCATCTCTCCCAAAAGTAGCAAGATTTGGCTTCAGATGTCTAGTTGTAGTTGTTCCATGGCATAAGACCTTCCACCAAAAAAAATGTCCTCCTCTAATTACTTGGGGCTTTCCTAAAATTGGTCTCAGCTTCACCATCCCCACTGGGTGTACTTGTCATGGCTTATGACCAAAAGATGGAGAAACTGTGATATATTCCAGATCCAGTCCACTCAGGTCTTTAAAGAACCTGAAACAGTTCTACAACTGGAATAAGGACCCTGGTTTAACATCAATCAGGCAGTTACATTTTGGCAACTGCCTAGACTTGCTGGCAACATTACTTGTTTTTCAATATTTTTCATTTCTCATGCTAAAACCATCACGTGTTGACAAGAATGCAAATTTTCATTTGCCCAAGGGGAGGGACTAGTGCAGGGCTTTGGGGATCAAAGGGGTTCTGTACATGTAAACTATTACAGTGTACTACATTGAAGTTCACAGTATTTGGACTGAAGAAAAGTATGTATTTACCTGGAGCGTGTATTTTTCCAGTACAACATAACAACATAAACAATACTCAGGTACTCATTAGCTCCTGTAGTTGTCAACTAGTCAGTTTCCCTGGTAATCTATTAATCGGTTTCAGGGCTACCATAAGAAGCCTTAAAAATTATGGGAACTAGACACTTTTGGGGCTGCTGTGTCCCCTCATTTTCAAACAGCAGCCTTCAAATAGGCTACTTCTCATACTCTTCAAGGCTTTTAATAACACTTCTGAAGCCTTGAAAATAAGTTTCCTTTTCTAATAACAGCCTTTTTACAGCTACTTTCCCACCACCATTGTTATGCAGTTAACCAGAGTGCAATTACATTACAAAGACAGTGGGGTTGAAACAGGCTAGGCACTTAAGCAGTGAATACACTTAACCAATACGTAATTAACCAATGTAAGCATTAAGTACCAAATTGGCATTGCCATTGTGTTATGCAGTTAACCAAACTATGCATTTATACAAACAGCCCTTATAATTACTTCATTGTTACTGTGAGATCATGTTTCAGGTGCCTTGAATATCTCTAATTCTGAAAGCACTCAGCAAATAATGTCTTCTTACTCTCACATCACTTATTGACTATTGTTCATTTATTTAGATGTATATATATCTTGCTTATCCAAAAGGCTCAGAGGGGCTTACAATAAACTTACAACCCACAAACAGGATTTCCCAAATAACACCCCAGAACTTGAGACCACCAACTCCCCTCCCCACCCCTGCAACTGCTGCTTCACATATGCAAGCCCATTGGCTAATTCCAACCATGCTTCCCAATTACCATTTACACCCAGATACAAGAAACCTCTTTCTACTTCCCCCACTCCCTACCCACCCACTCCCCTGTTTAACCCCCAAAAGGATATCCCTCCACCACCCTTCAATATCTCTTCCAAGCCTGTACCCCCAACTAGTGGGTTAAAAAGGGTTTCCTCCTCCCCGCATCTAATATCTCCTCTATATACTTCCTATCGTATCAACAATTACTGTGCATATATTAAGCCAGGACCTCTATTTTGGTTTTTCCCCTACAAAAAGGAAGGGAATCATTTAGATCATTTAAAGATCTGAGTGAATGTTGAAACCTCAGCTAGAGGATGCAAATAGAACTATTATTACCCATTAGATAGTAGTACAAGCTCTCCTTTAGCTTCAGTAACAGACTGTGTGCATTTGGGACCAGTGAAAGTCTTAGGGGATGTTTGTCTGTAATCTATTATTTATAAAAGGAGAATATTTAAAAAAAAAAAACTAATTAACAAAGCTCACCTGATTGCATACAAATTTCGAACAGCCTCATCTCCGTTTTTTCCCACGGTAAGGGCTTGCATCTGTAGCAATTTCCCAATTGTTTTTACCAAACCATGCACATTCCTGTCAAAACAATGAATACAAAACAGCATTACCATCCAAAGGGTAGCTGAATTAGTTGACTGTTAGAGGAAGGGTGTTATGATCCAAGCAGAACTGTGATCCAGGAACTCTTGAGCACTGCTCTGCATTTGTACCAACTGCCTTTGTGGTTATGGTCACATCTAAACGGATTCCACACTCTTCCCAAGACTGATCTCAACCTATTCTCAAACTTTAAACGAGTAAGAGGCCCAGTTCAGTGGCATGGAATTCAAGTGCCTACTGGGCCACTTTTAGCAAGCAGATTTGAACTGTGGGATGAGCCAAACGCCCATTGATGAGGCTCATCAGTTTTATTTGGTAAAGTGAATTATTACAGGTCTTGGGCTAAAACAATCTCACTCTTCCTAAGACTGTTGCTGAAAATGCTCCAGGCCAGCTGTTCCAAACTCAGAAGAGAGGCACTGAGGACAATTAGGCGCATTATTTATTGTGTGGTTGGGAGCATCCTTGCTGTCACAGTTCCAAGTCTGGAGTATGTGAAGTAGAAGAAGGAAGACGGGGTTTATTTTAGCTTCCTCATATGCAAAAAAGAGAGCTCAGTTACCTGTGCCACAGACGAGTTAAGAGAAAAATAATGCACCAGTTAACATTTACAAAGAACTCTGAAGAAGGAAACCCTTCAGTTAATGACTGAACACAGCTTTTTTTATCATGTTAAAACCAAACCTGGGCTCCAACCTGAATGAAAGATTAAGCACAAATATTCAGCATAGTTTTAACCATGATTACCAGAATCATATGCTTAAACCCCTCAAACTAAAACTAAAACTACATCCCAAGACAGACTCTGGACAACTGCCTTGTCCTTCCAAGTTTGGATTGCAGCTGAAGGAGCCTTGCCAAGCAGCTGTTTTTTCTCATTCCACCCACCTCACCTTGTTGACTATTCAGGAAATCCTGAGTAGCAATGGGATTTCTGGCAGCATTACAGGATTCTTTATAACCTTCAAAACAGTTTAAGAGAATGTTGTGCAGTCTAGAGTCTGCCAGCCAATCAGAAACCTTATACAAACCATAATTTCAACAATTCATTGGCTGGCTTCAGCGGAGGGGTAGTTCTGATGATTGGATTTTTTTTTTTTTTAATTAAATATTTCAAATCTTTCAAAACTACAGCAGTTGTATAATAACATGACACCACCTCAGATAAATGGCTTGATTTCTACAATTAAGTCCTCAGTTAAAAAAGGTAAGGGGTATGAGGGGGGAAAGGAAGGGGGGGGGCAAAAATAATTTTCAGGTATTACGCTGTTGAAAAAAGAAAAATGATATAAGGTTTGTTCCTCATTCTCAGGAGAAATGTAAGGCAAAGCAGTCACATCAATTAAAAGCATAACAAAAATAAAACAGTAATGAAACGACATCAAGACACAGGGGAGAAATTCCTTTTAACATTAATAAATGGGATGGGTAAAGAAAAAAGACCCCAAGTACACATATTAGAGGGCTTTTTCCACTCTCCTCTTATCCCTTGGCAGTAATTCATCAGATTCAAGTTACTTAGCCTGTATCTTCAGTGAAATGAATTCCCTCATCAGTGAAATGTAAAACACTGGAAGCTCCTAACCAGCAAGCAGAATTGGCCAAAAGAATCAGATTAACATTTATATGGTGCTCGCACACACATTTCAGAAGCCAATGTAACTTTATTATTCCCATTTAACTAATGGGGAAACTGAGATACAACATGAAGTGACATGCACAAAGTACATTATGCATTATATTAATCTTTAGAAGATTAGCTTAATCCGGACATGCTCAGGCCACCTATACAACAGTAATTGAGCAAACTTATCAAGTGATTGAATCAGTCACTGTAACTTGCTGTGTGGACACTATTGTAATGAACTAGAATTCACATCTAAGGGTTGTGCCAATTTAACTAAATCAGTATAAGTTTTTTATGTAGACAATACCTTAAAGGAATTTTTCGCCAAAGAAAACAAATGCCATTCACCAAAGGAATATTTTGGGATTGAATGCCTGTATAGTGCTTTCCTATTCATGAAAACAAGAATTACATAAAGAACAAAAACATCTCCGTTGTCTTTATCTACAGTGCCATAATGCCAAATCCATGTTGCTCATTTAAAAAAAATAAATAAATAAAAAACAGAGACAAAAAAATTGGAGATTATTACATCTTTATCACTTCACCACCAGACAGCCTACTCAAAACATATGACTTGTGTAACTTTATACAAGTAGCAGAAGGCTCTAAAAATTCAGTGAACTTTCCCCAACGTTAGTCAACAGCTAACACTGACATCCATGATATAGGGTAGACAGAGTTGTTCGTTTCTCCCTATACATCAGCCTTTTGCACTCTTATATAAAGGACTATTGAACACTACTACTGAACACTGGCAAAGTTCATTAGGGGTAGAATACTCCTGCTAAAGGTTTCCTTTAATTAAAAAAAGTCCAGTTCTAAATGTTCTCCTAGTCACTAAAATTACATGCTGTCATGATACCCGAGCACCAAAACACTAAAAGCCTTACTATATGAGAGATTACAGTTTTATTCACAATCACGTTGCCAAGCAACTGCAAAAAAAAAAAAAAGTGAGTACAATAGGCTTCTAGATCTTGGTGAACTAAATGGAAGAGATGGAGGAAGAGAGAAGGTCCTTTTTTGGAATGTTTGACCTTAGGGGATATTCAGGGCATGTGAAAAGCCAGTTACCAGTAAACCTGATAACATGACACTGAATCGAAATAAAGCAACTACGAACTGAGGAAAGGGGGATGGGGGG